GAGGGAGTCCGGCTGACCCCCTGATTTCAGACTTCTGGCACACGGAACTGTCAGAGAATCAATTTCGTGTTTCACGCCCTGGTAACTTGTTACAGCAGCCCTAGGAAACTAATACACGGGAGAAGAAAAGTACAATTAATAGCTAGTGTTAGTATGGATTCCACAGATGTATTCATGTTTCTTCTGGCTCATGTAATACCATAAGTTGATTGTATTGAGGTAGTTAATTCTGTTGTAGACATTTCAGTTATTGCTACTGAAACCATGACATAGTGAGATTCCTGTTTGTGAAAATATTGAGACTAGATAAACGTGAAATGCATAGGGGATACCAATCAAAATTCTTGCATTGGATGCACATTGTCCTAGATGATCTCTGATCCCTTTCTACTTAAGAATACATTTCCAGGGGCGCTTGGGTGGCTCAATCGGTTAAGCATCTGACTTCAGCTCAGGTTATCTCATGGTGCGTGAGTTTGAGCCCTGCAACGGGCTCTGTGCTGACAGTTCAGTGCATGGAACCTGCTTCGAATTCTGTGTTTCCCCCTCTCTCTGCCCCTCCTCTGCTCTCACTGTCTCTATCACAGAAATAAATAAATATTTAAAAAAAAGAATACATTTCCATAGAAAATTTTCCAAATATTGAGGCTTAACATTTTTTTTTAATTTTTTTTTTTTTAACGTTTATTTATTTTTGAGACAGAGAGAGACAGAGCATGAACGGGGGAGGGTCAGAGAGAGAGGGAGGCACAGAATCTGAAACAGGCTCCAGGCTCTGAGCAGTCAGCACAGAGCCCGACGCGGGGCTCGAACTCACGGAGTGTGAGATCGTGACCTGAGCCGAAGTCGGCCACTTAACCGACTGAGCCACCCAGGCGCCCCGAGGCTTAACATTTTAAGGATAACATTAGAATAGTCAAACATTTAGAAAATGCATTCACTTGGAAAAGGTGTCTGGAGATATAAGGTACTCAGGACTTACCTTCTATCAACATTCCACACCAGGACTTCTGAAGGAATACAAGCCTACTGAAAACTCATTAGTTGGAAAAAACAAGTAAAATAAGTTTACTCATATGTTTTCCCAAAATCACCAATTAGGACTTCCCCATGCCAACATTTCCAAAAGTATTTGCATACTGCCACCATATAAATAGCTCATCGTTGAGTGGTGAGATTAGGGAGTTAATTTTCTTCACTATTACTATATTCTTTTTTTTTTTTTT